AGATAATTTCTGTCCTCCGCTTATAACAAGAACCTGTGGAAAATTTTGATTTTGTTTTCGATTGCTTTTGTAATTATCTGATGTTTCGATGCACAAAAAGCTAGATTAGTTGTGCTCTATGAAATTAGATGAGTATTATTGTAATAACACTCAATAGCATTCGATGTAAGGGGCAAAAGAGTGTGCCCTAATAGGGAGTAATGGGAATATATAGCCAAGCCTTCTCAACTGTCAACCTCACCTACCCGTGGCACATCCTGTTTTCTACATGCGAGGCTCTGGCGACCGAGTACAGGCGGTATAACCTGAATACGTATAGTTGAGCGGAAATTTTCTAACTACTTAACAGAAATCCTATCTCCGGGTTAGCAAATAAAAAGATCTGGCCCTCCAAGTTGGGGGTTGATCGCAAGGTCAGCAAACCTGCATCAGAAAAATTTTACCGCTGTGCAACCCTTAGACATGCCTCGGAACAATGGAAGGATACACGTTGACGGACTATGGCGACGAAATTTGGACTTAAGATTTGGAACATGGAACGTATCAACTATGTTAACACCAGGAAAAATGATAGAAATAGCTAATGAAATGCGCAAGTATAGCCTCAAAATACTGGCAGTTTAAGAAGTAAGATGGGCGGATTATGGGAAAATCGACAAGAAAACGTTTTCATTTTACTATAGTAGAGTTAATGGCAAAACGGGAAGAAAAGGAACCGGATTTTTTGTTGACAAAAAAAATTAAGGGTAGTATTATGAATTTTGAATCTATAGATGAAAGAATATGCAAGCTCCGAATAAAAGGTAAATTTAATACCATCACTTTCATAAACTGCTACGTCCCTACAGAAGATAGTGAAAATGAAGAAAAGAAACACTTCTATGACATTCTGATTAAGACAAGCAAAAATGTAAACAAGTTTGATACAAAAATAATACTAGACGACTTTAACGCGAAACTAGGTAAGGAGCCATTCCTTAATGAAATATGCGGGAAAAATTCACTACACGAAGTAACCAGCCCTAATGGGTTACAACTTACTCAGCTTGCACAAAAACTAAATCTCAGAATAATGGGCACCTTTTTTGAATACAAACGAATACATAAGGCTACGTGGAGAGTGCCGAGAAATAGGGGCACAAATCAAATTGATCATATTCTTATCGATGGCAGTCATTTTTCGTCAATTCTCAATGTTAAGGTTTGCAGAGGAGCTATCTGCGATTCAGATCACTATTTGGTAAAATCTATAATAAGAGACAGAGTATCTAAGATAAAACAACAAAATATAAGAAAAGTTGGCAAATGGGATGTAGATATACTGAAAACAGCGAGCAATCTGGAAAAGTATCCAGGAAGTAATCCAGGAGGTAAGTTCCAGGAAAGACATAGCGAAGCGAGCTCCATTGAAGAGAAATGGCGCTCAATAGAAAGCGCAATACTCGATTCGGCAAAAGAAACAATTGGTGAGATGAGAGCAATGCGAAATGTAGAATGGTTCGATAATGAATGCAGGGAAGCAATTGCAGCAAAAAATACAGCAAATATGAATATGATAAATAAAGACACAAGAGCAGCTACTCTGTGCTACCGTGAAAAAAGAAAAACTGCGTAAAAGCTTTGTAGAAAGAAAAAAATGGAGTTTTTCAAGACAAAAATCAAACATAGAGATCAAGAAAGAAAGAGAAACAATACAAGGGCTTTCAATAATCAAATAAATTGTATTGGTAACAAATATGAATATTAAACTTCAACATCATAAATGAAGCGATATCGGTAATGACTGCAATATCACAACTGATGGCAAGTTACGATCTTCCAAGCCTAGTAGGTAGAAACCGAAATGCACTCCTTGATATGTGGAATATGGCACAGCGAACAAATGAAAGAAAGAATGAAAAGAAAGGCAACAAACTTATGGTATATATATTTGTGATACGTCAATCGATGTAAAAGTGCTATGAGAATAACATTACGCTACACGCACTCTTTGTAGATTTCAGGTAGGCCTTCGATAGCCACAAAAGATCCAAAATCATAAAAGTTCTGATGTGAACGAGCGCCCCGCAGAAACTTGCTCGATTGGTCGCAATGATCCTTGCGAACTCATCAGGCAACGTTATTATCAATGGACACCTCTCAGAATCGTTTTCAATAAGCTCCGGAGTTAAACAGGGTGACAGTCTTTCGGCTTTCTTATTTATATTAACATTACACTACGCCATTCACTCCATTGAAAATCTCGGCAATATTATAACAAAGTCCTACCAGATCTGTGCGTATGTAGATGATATTGCAATTATTGCAAGAGCGAAAGAGAGCTATCAAATGTCTTCAAATGCTAAACGAAAACACTAAAAAAGTTGGTCTTAGAATAAATGAAAGTAAAACCAAATACCTCAAGCTAGCAAGAAGTAACGAGTGTACGGATATGCAACGCATATGAATTGGTGAATACAATTTTGAGGTTGTTAGCAACTTTACCTACCTCGGTGCGCTAATTATAGAATACAAGCAGCAAATAGATATTTTTACAAATATTTAGACTTAATGAAATCAAGATAACTATCCAAGTAAAGTAAGCTACGAATATACAAGATAATAATAAGACCGGTAGCTACATATCTATGGTTCAGAAACATGGACAATGAAAGGTGGACGAAGAAGCTTTAAAAATTTTTAAAAGAAAAATAGTTCCCCAAATCTATGGGCTAATCCAAATTGATGCAGAAACTTTTCAAAGACGACTAAATAATGAAATTGAAGAACTGCTTAGAAACGAAAATATAGTGAGATACATTAAGTCGCAATGGTTACAATGGGCTGCTCATGTAATAAGAATGCTTAGGAAACGAAAATATAGTGAGATACATTAAGTCGCAATGGTTACAATGGGCTGCTCATGTAATAAGAATGGGGTCGGAGAGAAAGCCGAAGAGCATATTCAACGCAAAGCCGATGATAACCAGGCGGAGAGGTAAACCAAGAACAAGATGGGATGCAAGAACGATTGGAGTACTAAACTGGAAGAGAGCAGCAAAAGACAGGGACAGATGAAGGCAGATCGTGAGGGTTCATACTGGACTGTAGTGCCAAATAAGAAGAAGAAGTTATTGTAATAACTATAATAATAAATAATTATAATGCAAATATGAGTGGTACGATATGATAACTGTCTGAAAAACATAGGAAATACATTTCTACCTGATTAAAGTTAAAATCAAATGAGCGACTTGTCCCTTTTTTCAAACAACAGTTCAAGTTATACCATATAGTACGTTTCCACTACGTACTTAGTAAGCTTTATTTACTGAGTCAATTGCATTAACTATACAAAGAGCTTCCGTGCGTTTTCATTTACTGTGGAATATAGTAAACAAAATTCTACCAAAATTATATCAAATATCACGAATGCAACAATGGAAATGATCGAAAATTGACATATTTGACACATTAAAAACAATGTATAAGCATAAACAAACGATCAAAATTCAAAACAAACAACAGGTAAGAATTTTTTTTAAACATTGGGCCGATTTACACTATCATGAACGTAGCATGAACATGAACTTGAAAATCGGTTACTTATAGATGAGAGGGGGAAGAGTGTGACGTGAGTTCATGCATTTCACACAATGATATTTGCTGCGTTTCTTCAGCTTGACACGCATACATATGCAAAGTTATGCTTATGTTTAGCTTTTAATACTGAATACTCTCAATTTCTGTGCTCTGTACTACTACACATAAGCATTTTATACGTTTACGCAAAACAAAACAAATTTCAAGCTCATGACAGTTCATGATAGTGTAAACTGAACTGACAGTTCGTGTTGTCGTCAAGTTCATCTCACGTTCACACACAAATGTAACTAGACCCATTTGTGTTTTTATAAATAAAATATGTAATTAATACATAAAAATATAAAAATTTCATATATATATATGATATAATTATAAAATTTCATACATTATTTAATAATAAATATTTATTTATAATTACATGAAATCTAATTATATAAAAAATACATAAGTTAATATTTTTTGTTGATTTTATTTTTAATTAACAAGTTATTAGTGTTATTATTAACTATTAGTGAAAATAAAATTTATTGAAAATTTAAATTAAACATCGTCTTATTTCTTTTCTATTTGGATTGTGATTATTTAGTGATCAAACTTGTTTTGAGGCCCTCTTACCTAAAATAGGAACTCATTATTAAATAAATTCTTTATTTAATAACATTTACAGTCCGTATTTACCGAAGTCCAGCACTTCTTTCTTTTTCTAGTAATCATTGAAGAAAGGACTATTATTTGTTAATTTTGAATTATTTGTAATTTTTTAAAAAGTATTGTATGTTCCTTTGTATATGCAGCAACTGCCGCTTTTATATTGTGAATAACATTACAAACATTATATATTAAATTATTTAAATTTTCTGCGTTTTCTTCTACGCTGATTTATTTTCTTCTAACAATACAAAATTTAATATCATTTGTTTACAATTAAAATGTAAACACAGAAAAGCTCTAAAAGTAGAACTTTTTGACACATAAAAGCTCTTTCCCATTCCTTAAGTAATTCATGATAATGTAAACGCAAAAAAGCTCAATGTTACTATATGACTTACTAAGTACATAGTGGAAACGTAGTAATAGTAAAAACTCCTTAATGTAGGAAATCATATGCGCAAAAATGACTTCTGGTAATATACAAATATTTCATTATCATTGAAATTTAAAAAATTTAATTTGTTGCAAATTGGTTATCAAGCAAACGTAAAAACAAACTTTTGGTACGTTTACTCGTGAACTGCATTTTAAATTTAATTATAAAACATTCATCACGCTTAGGATGTTCGAATTGTCAAAATTTATTACGATCTTTGATTTAACAAGAACGTATTTCTCCCATTTCATAACGCTCGTTTCTCTGAGCGTTATGTGAGCGTATTATAGTATTTGTATCTCTGTTATTATACTGCAGTTTGCATACTCAATGGTAGAGTTGTGTGCGGATGTGCTATGTGGAAATACACTCATTTTGTATTTGACTTGGACTTGACAAGTGTAGTGATATTTGATTGCGCCCGAGTTGCGATTTTTATTCTGTAAATATTAAGAAGTTTTCTGTAAGTTTAAAAGTAAGTTAATCTAAAATATAAAAATATAATTCTAAATGGTTACGTGGTACAAAATACTAGCATTGTTTTTTCTCGTTTCATTGAATATGGATGTATATGGAATATAAATTGTTGTGAGTTATGTATGTACAAGTTTTCATCGTGTTTTATACATATATATTTCAATTCGAGATCATATAAAAATGAATTTTTACTAATTTAATAAATAACTCTAGATATCTAAACACCTCTCTTTTATCGCATATATATATATATATATATATATATACAACTATTCATATACTATTCATAAATATATATATATATAAACATATATATAAATATATATATATATATGTATATATGTATATATACATATGTGCGTAGCATATTAAAACTTGTTATTGTAGAACGTACTAGACTGTAAAAATGTATAATTTATTGAATAAAAATAGTAAACGTAAGCTTAACATCACACACATTGAACAGGTTTGGCTTAATAACGACAATTACGTAATGAGATTAGTATTCGTATAAGTACATACCTTAGTAAATTGAAAAACCTTTCTGAGATGAAAAACTTAGAAATTGCCATTAGGTTTTAAATGCAGGGAATTATATAAATAAATGAAGTTGTTTGATTACAATAGTTGATCGAGATAATGCAAAAAATTAATTGTCATTGTAGGATCGATTGTTTTCAATACGTGCTTTTTAAATGTGAATCTTTAAATATGCCAGCTTGCCTTTTATATTCGTTTTAATGTATAAAAATTAAATAAAAAAAATTTCAAATTATGTAATTAATTTCATTTCATTAGTAGATACTGTATTGCTACAGGTATACCAGAGTATTAATTATCATAAATTGCCTAACCGACCATTTATTTGCTTAAGAGATACACATTTCTTAGTAGTTCTTAAATTCACTATTTCAACCATCTGTCAAAGTATCTCGATCATTTAAGCGTGCTCGATAAATATTTATTGGTCTAGTCTGCCTGTGATATGTATATTGCATTTTGCATTTATTTGGCTAAATTGAATTAATGCAACCTTATCATATTGTATCTCTTGTATTCCAGTTAATAATTTGGCTAAAATGTCTGAAGATCAAATGCATTATATTCCTGAGTCAACATCAGTAAGCAAAAGAAAAATGTGCCATATAGTGAAACGTGATGATTTTGATGGTTATGGATTTAATTTACATTCTGAAAAAATTAAACCTGGTCAATATATTGGTAAAGTTGATAAAAATTCACCCGCAGAATCGGCTGGGCTACGAGAAGGCGATCAAATAATTGAAGTTAATGGCGTTACTATTGGTAACGAAAGTCATAAGCAGGTAGTGCAACGCATTAAATCTATCGCAAATGAGGTGCGACTTTTGCTTTTGGATGTAGACCGAAATAACTTAACAAAACACCATCCTATTCCATTTTCTTCAATTTCAAATGATAGCGAATCTGTTGATATAAAAATCAACAACAATGAAAATATTTTTGACGATGCTCTACAGTTCAACTCTGGGAGCAATCCAAACATTAATAGTAAAAGCAGCATCATAGACCGAACTGCTCAAAACGAATGCGAAAATTCTTCAAATAATGTATATAGTGACGATCATGATGACTATAAGGCTGGTGAAGCGATACCTTACAGTGCTAATAATTTTGTCAATGAAAAGACTGTATCAGATCGTGACCATCAACTCAATATTGCACAAGAGCGTAACAGAAAGTGTACCTTAACTGAAGGCGGCAATAGTAACACCACTTCCAATTCTGCCAATTTGGAGCTTCCAATGACTGCAGCTGAAATGCGTGCAAAACTTTTTGCTAAAAAAAAATATAACCCGAAAACCGATATTGTCGATATTCGGAAAAAATTTGAAATTATTCAAAAGCTTTAATTTATTGTATGCTTCATACATTAACACAAAACTGTAAACTTCGAAAGAAACAAACGCAAATTAGTATGCTAGAACTGAGTACTTAATCTTTTATATTTAGAGTATGATATTAATATAATTTTACATGTATCAAATTTAAGTTATGAATAATAATATTTAGAATAATTACTATATGCACGTGACTTGAATGATAATAGAATGATTATGCACGTGAATTGTTCGTATTTGATGTATTATTGTATTTATGTATATCTACAAACAACATGATAATAATTATTTTTAAACAAATTGAATATTTAGAATTATTTCACAAAAATAATCTACCTTTTATGTTTTTGATTTAGCATCTATATTAGCAAAGCTGTAATATTTTGATATACAATTATTGTTATTATTATTATTAGCATGTTCAATACAATTAATATATAGAACTTAGCTTATACACATATTTCAGTAACAAAGTTTTTCCGAACTTGACGGTTTCGTACCATAAATGCCAGTTCATTTATAGTTGTTGATATTTCGTTTGTGAAGCCCTAGCATCACAAAGCTAGCGTGTGCCCTAGCCAAGCATATTTCCGTACCTCTTTTTCCATCGGTTTTTGACCTTTAGTGCGTTAATTTGATGTTATTTTTTGGTATCAAATTCTTAAAATTGTACGCAAACATCTATTTCATTGTAACAGCTTTTGATGCGTACCAGGTTTCACATCAATATAGTGAAACGGATTTGCCAATTATCTTTTTATACCCATCATTAATAGGTCCAATTTGTGGGTTAAAGAAACGATCTAATCAGTACGATTAGATCGTTTCTGTTAAGGGTGTATAGGACTTTATTAAGCTGACTGTTAAGGCTTTTTTAAAAAGATGTATTGGTGCAAAGCATTGCATGACAGTTGTGGTATGGTTTGGTTTCTAAGCGGGTAGAAATAATTCGTTCAGATGTGTGTTTTCAGCTTAACAGAGCATTTTTAGTTCTTGCTGAAAGGTATAGAGCGATTCTACCTATATTTGGTACTCTGTTAGCAGAGAATAGTAGGAAGCATTTCTCTACTTCCACTCCTGCGCACTTCACTCAATTCAATGTGTTTGATGATTAAGCGCTCTCATTAAGCAACAAGTTGCGAGTAATTACTACTTCGGTACAATGTACGACGTATTTGGTCAACGTATTAGGGCACCGGTTGTTACTTTGTGTCGGTACTTAAATCGTTTCTTCTCAGTATGAGCAGGTGATTGGCTAACGCCACTTTGTTCGATGACAAGGTTGCTGTCTTAAATGTATATAATATCAAGGATTGTCTCACATGTCTCCGAACCGATTTTTGCGTGATTATATCGCTAAGTACCCATTTCCTCTTTAGTAGTAAGTACGTGAAGTGCCACGTAAAGGCAGAGGTTGACAGTTGATCTGAGAGACTATAGTATGACGCATCAAAATCCATATCCCTCAAATGATGTGCTTATATATTTTAATAATTGTCTTTTAATAGCGCATATAGATGAGTTGTCTTGAGGAATGGGTCGGACGCCATAGAGTAGGATGAATTATTGTGGTAGTCGGTTTAGTTCACCAACGTTTTTAGATCTTATCGGTTCATTATGATACCACTGCTGAACAAGGAAAACTATGTACTTATCCAAAAATCTAAGTCCATAAAGCACAAGATATTTTTAATCATAGTTATTCTGAATCACATGGAAATGGGAGTTTTCCCCTTTTCCCAATGTTGCTATTCTGAATCATATGCGAATGAAAATTTTGTTCCCTATTCCCAAATCCTTTATTCTGAATCATGTAGGAATGGGAGTTTTTTCTCAATTTTACACAAAATTTTCGCAAGCAAATTGTTTGGGAGATAAGTTAATAAAGTGTTAAAAAAAGTTTAATTTAATATGTAAGTAACTTATAATGATAAGATTTTTGAATATATTTGAATAAAATTGTTATAATAAAAAATAAAATAAATTTAATATTTTTAAATGTTTTTTTTATTTATTTTATCCACACGGGGTTTTTCCACAAATTAAAACGTTAACTTTTGTTATTTAAATCAATAGAATAATGAAAGGAAACCAAATCTTAGAATAAACGGGATTCCTGGAATAAGTTTAATATAATATTTTGTTATTATGCAATGGTATAACATTGCTTCTTTTTTATTATAATATTTGTGCTATAATAAACTATTATTACTGTTTATTAATTGAAGGACATTCCTATTCTAATTATAAAAATAAATACGACTTTTGGAGGGGAACTCAAATTTTAGTTAAAACATTAATAATTTCAATTAATAAATAAGATATTTTACTTTGTTTTATTGAATATAAGAAAAAAATAAATTTATTAGAAAAAAAAAATAGAATAAAAGTTTTTTATTATTTACTTACAAAGTATTCATTATATTAATTTTTGATATTTTGTGCTGTAGAGAAATAATGCGGTTTTTAAATTTAAATGAACATATGATACGCAATTCTTTTTTTGTTTTGCTCATTTTCGCACTTTTCGCCATTAAAAAGGTCCATGGATGCCAAAATTCAACAAAACAAATTTGAAACTATTGTTGTTCCGAAAACAGCTATCTCCCAAGCAATTCAGAATAAGGGAGTTCTATTCTTGCGATTAGCGTGGGAATAGGGAGACTTATTCCCTGGGAGTATTTCAGAATAACTATGAATATTCGCATTCAATACCGCCATGAAAAAGCTTAAGACATGTTTGCCCAAGAAGTTCTCCCTAATTCTAGCTGGAACCGTTTTTTTATCTCCACAGCTACAATATTGATTGGGGCCAGTTTTCAGCCATAAAGCATGTGTTTGAAATAGTGATTTATAACATTAGACACAACCACGCCATACTTTTAATTTATGGATACTGGAGTAGATATTTTTATTCAAAATTAGCCATGTTTATATATATTATGGCTTGATAAATTGCGTCCACGAACCTAGATCTAATTGTATTCCGTTTCGCCGACAGTAGAAGCATAACCTGCTTCCTCCCTTCCACTATCTCCTATAATTTTCCCTTCCCTAGTTATGAGTCGGCAGTTCTCGATTGCATGACTGAAGATATCCTCTTTTGCCTTCGGCTCCTTAATTTTAGCAGGGATCCAAACTCGTATTCTAGGTTTGCTAAAAATCTACTCCTGGCTGCTAGCTTCGAGGTTGGTTTATATTTAAATCTCCGCAATCTTCTATACAGCCGACCTAAAGGGCATAGCCGAGTGTGTCCTGTCGGGTCAGCCTTGAATCAAGCATAGGATGCTTGCCCACCCGTCCAAATTGAAGTTGTATCTGTATGGTGTTATCTCATTTTGGGTAAGGATTGAAAGGTAATTATGGGTATTTTGAAGACTGTAATAGCAGCTTAAAGGTATGATTAGTAACCCTTACAGGGAGAGCGTTATGAGGAGCAAGCAAGTTCTTACGGTCAGTATCACCTGCGAGCTTTTCGGTTCCCATCAGACTACTATAAACAATTGCGTAGAAGCCAGAGAAGCCTTACGGTTGATAACAGATAATAAGACGGTAACATAAATTTAGATATCGACGTATTCATAATATAAAAAAAGAGATTAACTTAATGAACATGACGGAACAAGAATTTTGTTTACCCTATTTGCGTTAGCTGAGCTTCAATAGAGCAATTTGCTGTCAGACTTATTTTAATGATATTGCAAGGTATAACTTTTAAATGCATTCTCAAATCCAATAAATAATTTTTTTCCAGATGATTTTTATTCTTGATCTTATAACAGTTTACAAGGTAGAAATTGTTAATACAATTCTTGTATTAGAGACTACTCTGCTGATATTTTCATCTTTATATAAATGTGCAATTAATATGAATTACACGTGTTTATTTAAGTTATCTATTACTGAAATAGATAACTTCAATTAAAAAATAAATAAATTTTTTTTAGGAAGTTCATCAACTAAATTTTATGTTTCATTACCATAACTTGTTTATATACAATATTTCCTACAAATCTATGATGAAACGCTTTCGTTTTGGTTTTCTGGGGTCAACTGCAGCGGAATTGTATAAATTTATTAATTGTCGCTAAAATATTCAAAATCGTAGTTTGTTTAGAGTTTATGAGTTACGTCCCCTTCACATACACAGTACAGTATAATGGACAACAATGTATAAATATCTATCAATGTATAAGTATCCATATTGGCAACAATGTATAAATATCTATAGTGGACAATAATTCATACATAAGTATCAATAATGTAAACATAAACATCCTGTGTCGCTGAATACAAAGTGTCATTTGATTCACCGCGCCACAGTGAAAAACAAACATAAACACAAATGCAATAATTGCATTCCTTAACTTATCGCACTCTAAGCGTAAATATAAGAATTGTATCATTTCACAATTGTATGAAATATAAACACAAGATCTGATGCCCTAAAGCTCTTTTTAGAAGATTTAGAAATCAGTCTTGGTCAAACTCACATTTATATCACACGTAATATCTTTCCAATAAACATAAATTTTAAAAGTCTTTACTCGAGTGTTTTATATATCGCAAACAAGTTTTTTTTATGTTTTTTAATTGATAAAAACAAAATTTATATTTATATATGATACACACATATAATAAATCAATAATAAACAGGTTGTAATATTTTTATTTTTAATTTGCTTTTTTTTAATTTATGTTATTCAGTTTATGCCATTCGATCGTTGGAAGGATAACAATAGCTACCCGTGAAGTCCTTGGTATGAGATTTTGATTTAATCTTCTGGCACTTACACACGTACACACGTGGTGTTTCTTTTAATTTTTATTAATAGTATAGTATTTATTGCGTAGCTTGACGAAAACACTATAATTGTGTGCTTTATATTTATTCGAGTTATTATTTGAAATAATTATAATAAAGTAATAACAGCAAAATAATTACTCCTTCGCTTTTTATTTATTGTTTGATGAAATGTTGGAATCAACTGTTTGCAAGTACTGAACACTTTAATCCAGTACTTATGTTGATTCTACCAACTTAAAAAACCACTGAATACTTGAATCTAGTGATTTCAACGATTGTATTTGTAGAGTACTTAAATAATACATTAGCGAAAAGTGCACAAGGTAACACTGTTTATTGTGCACTGCTTTTAGTTAGTCGTTCATGAGGCAGTTGGCTTCTAGACATAAGGTGAACACGTTGTTAAGAATACTAATAAATAATATCTAAGATATTACAGTATTCAAAAATCCTAATCACTGAACACTTAAATCCAGTGATTAGGCGCTTATGTGATGTAAATTTGGTACTTGAACCAAATCTACTAAGCTAATAAACCAGAAAAGAGAATCAATGCTGAATGTGACTTCGCTTCAATTGAATTGTCAAAAATTCATTGATGCCTTTTATTTAAAAATTAATAAACAATTACAACAAATAAATTAACTAAAATAACCTAGACCATGAATGCCAAACAATGAACTTGTTACAAATTGCAAGCGTGCATTTTCTTGCAAACGAAATTCGACGCTTTTGCTTTCATGTGTAAACAAGTGTATCAAGTGCGCTGTAAACTATGCTTCTGTAAATTGAGAAAAGCAGATCCAATGATGTCAAATGTGTTTTATGTGAGGGAAATCATCCTGCCAACTACAAAGTATGTCAAGTCTATAAAAACATGCAAAAAAAAATGTATCCTTAATTAATGCCTAAGGCACAGGAACTTCAAATTCAAAAAAATCCTCTGCCTTCTCTAACCAAAAATTACATCAAGAAATTACATCCATCACAAACATTCGAACAAATACCTACAACCAATACGATGCTGTAAATGTCTAGAATATGGGCACATTTCAAAATACTGTAAAAATGATACCGTCCGAGCAGGAGCATGCTTTAGGTGTGGTAATACAGGCCATAAAGCCAAATCTTGCGACAATTCACCCAGGTGTCTGTAATGTCCAGCCGAAAATAACAATCATGTCATGTTAAATAAAATTTGTCCAGTTTACCAAGCCGCTTGTAGAAAATTATATATACATGGTTAAGTGTCTTCAAATAAACTTAAACCATTGTGAAGTTGCGCAAGACCTACTGATGATAACAGCAAATGATCTTACAGCAGAAGTTCTTCAAAACTGCTTTCAACTCAGCGGACTGGAACGCAACAATAGAAGCACTATCAAAACTGGAAATACCGGCATATCTACTTAGAATGATCATAAGCTACTTCAACGACCGTATTCTAATGTATGACACGAACGATGGTGTGAAGACATATTTAGTGACAGCAGGATTTCCACAAGGTTCGGTTTTAGCCCCCTTTTTTTGGAACGTAATGTATGATGGCGTATTTAATGTAGCTGGAGTGGAAGAAACCAGCTGGAGTGCAGTTAGTTGGTTACGCCGATGATATTGCAATTGTAGCGGTCCCAAAAGCTATCAACGAGCTCTTAATGAAATGTGATAGCACCATCTCAGTGGTTAAACTCTGGCTTGAGTCAATGGGCCTAGAATTATCAGAGCACAAAACCGAAGCAATTCTTTTAAGTAGTAGAAAAAGAGTAGAATCTATTGACATACATGTCGGAGAGCTCTCTCTGAAGTCAAGCTCGGTAATTAATTACCAGGTAATTAATTACCTGGGTGTCAAAATAGATCAAAGGCTTAACTTCAAGGAACATCTGAAGTCTGCTGGTGACAAAGCAATCAGAATTGCTGGACGAATACTTATAGACCTACAAGCTAAAGAGGCAGCAGCTTTGAGAGATCCCAAGATTTAAACATGCTGATGACCCCTTTTGTTTGCATTGTGATGAAGTGGTAGAAAGCGTTGAACAAATACTGATAACATGCATATGTTTCACACGTGCTAGAGAAGCAGTAGAAAAATTAATT